CTTTCTTGCTGCGGGAGACTTTTCTAAACCACATACGAGTATTGTCAAAACTTCCGAATTTTAGAAAAATTTGAGTTGAAACACGAATTACCGGACAACCTTTTAGTATGTGTAAGGTTTGATGTGGACAATAAGAGCAACATTTTTCGGTGTTGTGAAAAGGGGAACAAGACTTTTATGTGAGATAACGCAACCTATGGTCGTTGAGGATGCGTGTTAAAGTATTTGGTCCATGATTCATTACTGTACCTCAGCCAGATCTTATGATAACTGAGTTGGGGTGATTCAGAACTTTCCTAGCCAAATCAGAACGCTTAGACATATCCCTTATTGATAAGGTTTCTCCCCACTCCATGGAAAGCAGAAAACCATTTCAAAGTTACATGCGTTTGCTGCAATAAGATGCATGCAGGACATCTCGCTTCATTCCCTCTCGAGACCTCTACAATACCCTGAAACATCGGAACTTTAACTTTGATCTCATCTTGATCTTTTATGGAGACCTTTCTTGGCGCCAATCCGCCAGACTTCCTTCACACGCAAATTGACACGACGGTTTTCATTCTTTCTCTTCTCAGTCTTCGCTTGATAGGTTTAGTTATTCTTTGATTGAGATGTCGCCATATGCAAAATTATATATGCAGACAATTAAAATTTGAAAGAAAAAACTTTGACTCATATTTGTCTCTTGGGACGTGAATGAAAAGTGGAAATAACAAGCTAAGCGCAGTCAATAGGAGGCCAGGAAAGACTTAGTTTTATAGGTTTGTTATTAGGAAATCTGCAATTTGCTATAACTTGAAGCGAAACAACAGCCAGTTTTAGAAATGTCGGAGCCAAAAAACCATTTTGTATACTTCCCGTAAGCAATTCTGCTTTAAAGGGCTATAGACATATCTCTCGAAAATGGAGATGCACTCTAACCTAGAGCATCCAAACGTATCTTCTATGCACAGCAGAAACTTCGCGCGACGTAGCAGGGCCGTGGACAGCACCTACAATCTGACTTAATAATGAGTTGTTTTTGTTTCCAAATATACAGATTTAGATGCATTTGCCGAATAAAATGCCCATTTCTTTTTGGATATTGTTCCCAGTGTTTCAGTCGAAAACCAAGTTGATATGATAAATGCTACTAATTACCTTTTCTTTTCCTAGGTAATTTGTAAAGAATTACATGAACAAGGGATTTTTTTGACAGGATCGCTGGTAAGCTCTTCCTTACGAGCAAACGATAGAGGAGAAGTTTAACAGGGTGTTCCTGCGCGAGCAAGTGATTCCCACAAATTCTTAACAACATTTTGGAAGACACTACCTTATGAAAACTGGAGTTCCTCATTTATGCTACCAACAGCACATTCGATATTGGGCCAGCAAGCCTACAACTTGATTTGTTTTTTTTGTGAAAGTGATGATCTCTTGCAATCTACAAAAAAAAGCATTATTAATACATCTCCTATACTTGAAATGTGAGTAGGTGCTCACTGACGTGAAATTATGGCTGCAGGCTCCCTATAGTCTTATAGAAACCAATTTCAAATGAAATCAATATCTTAACGTAGGTAAGCAAACATTGGATCTTCGAAATATTTATCTTTTTTATGTTGTAAAATCTTGTTCATCCCTTCAAAAGGAAGTTTTGCCTGAAAAAGTACTTGAATCTCAGTGTTTCTCATCCAGTTTTCTTATTCGGGGATTGATGGCCAGTAAAGGTGCGTTGCATACTCAGTCATCAGGCACGCATTTCCCGCAACTTCTGGATGTGAACATCATTCATGCAAAAGATCTGTTTTCTTTGAGGATATAAGATTAATCTGAATTTGGTCAAAAAGCTCTTATTTCCTGGAGGGTCTTTTATAGGTTTCCGGTACAACCCCTTCCAATTTCAGCTTCTCTTGAGTGTAAAAATAGTGTAAATTTGCAAACACCTCCTCGTCTAAAATGTATTGATCGTAGCTCTCCTCTCGGGACCCTTGATTTCGTGCAAGCGTGCGGACACAGCGACGCGTAACTACTCATTTGTGACCCTTTTCGTGTCAACGAGTGCTCATCCTCCATCCTATGGCCGTATTCGCGGTATGTCTGGAGGTATAATCGAAGAAAAAGCTGTCCACGACGCTCTAGACGCTCTTCTACGTGCTAGAGAGGTGAGAAATTTATAAATTTTGGTAGAAGCAC